GACCTCAACAGCATGAAGGAGCCCTAAAAGAGATGTTGAAGAAAAGGATACAGGGAGACAGGTATTTACTCAAAGTAGTTTGTGCCAGACTAACCTGATACCCAATTCTCTCACTAAAGAAACTGCAAGAGAACTCACTTAGCCAACCTGCAGTAAAACAATAAAGGAGCTTCTTAAACAGGGAAGCAACTTGGTGGAGGCAGGTTTCTCAAGGACCGGTCTTGGGACTGGTTTTGTTTAATATTTTCCCTGGCGTAAAAAACAGCAGTGTGGTAGTGACAGGGAGATGGAGACACTGTCAATTAAGGTGAGATCAAGATAGAATACGGAAAGAATGGCACGAGCTCAAGTAACAGAAATAGTACAAAAGGCAAAGCTGTGCACTTGGATACTAGTAAGGAAAAACTGAATTATAAGTTGGAATCTCACTGGCTGTACAGGTTTCCCTTGCTTTATACCAGGGATGAGCCATATGCGGCCCACGGGCTGGATGCGGCCTGCCAGGCCATTCTATTTGGCCCACAGGGTCCCTAAAAATTTAGAAAATTAATATTTATCTGCCCCTGCCTGCCTGTCATGCGGCCCTCGATGGCTTGCCAAAACTTAGTAAGCAGCCCTCTGCCCAAAATAACTGCCCACCCCTGGCTTTATATTGTACATGCGTTCCTGGAAAACAGCACAGAACTCAAATCCGCATAAAGTGAACCCACTTGACAGTGTAACTAATAGGGATATTTTCCAAGGCCTCGACTGTACTGACCCCCAGACCCACTTTTACAAGACAAGTTTGATACTCATCAGCAGCAGACAATATGCAAACACATGGTGGTGGTGAACGTCACCATAATGGGAATGGCAACTACAGAAAGATGTTGTGGACAATGAGCGAGGAGCACATTGATCCACACAGGAGACCATACTTTGGAACTCGCTGCTCCCACACTGCACTGCACAAACCAGCTGACTGCAGGCTTCCACCACACCGATTACATAAGCATGACTATACCTTGCATAAAACAAATTTTTGGTATAAAAGGGTCATTGCACAACAGTGAATTTGCACGTACAGAACCCACATAAAGCAAGGGAAACTTGTCTAGAACAGAGGTGGGAAAGCACTTGATTCTACTGGAGCGAATATAACAGCACACCTGATGCGGCAAAAGGAAACTAGAACAGCTCAGCTTATACAACAGCTACACGATGGCTGAGAGGTCTGTGACTCTTCGCATCCAGTGCACCGCGCTTAAATACAGAGACTTGGGGATGAAGAAAGGCTGCGTACTGCCCCAAGTGTGCACCTGCCCCATCTCATCTTCACACCCAGCGCACCACGCTTAAATACGCAAACTCAGGGCTGACGAAAGGCTATGTACTGCCCCCAGTACACACCTACCCTATCTCAATGCAAATAGTGCCCATTAATTACAGGAACACACCTTAGTGAGGCTCCTTACTTCATCTCCCAGAGGAGTTATGCCTCTAATAGGAGCCTTAAAACTAGAGGCCTGGAGGAGACCAAGACGTATGAGGAGAGGCTGAGGAACTTGGGGCTGTTCGGCCTGGAAAAGACAAGACTCAGGGGGGACTTGGTGGCAGCCTATAAGCATACCAGGGGCGCACCTCGGGGCTTGGGATTCACCAAAGGAAGGACAAGAAATAACAGGCACAACCCGATTGAAGATCGCTTCAGGCTAGGCATAAGGAAACGCTTTGTGACAAGCCAAGCACGGAGGGTTTGGAGCAGGCAGTCTCCGGCCCCAGAGATCTTTAAAAAACAAAAAAAAAAAAAAAAAAACCCCTTTAACACCCCCCTCGCGGGGGCCAT